TTTTCTATAGTAGATGTTGATGTGTGTGTGTTTTCTATATTAGATGTTGATGTGTGTGTGTTTTCTATAGTAGATGTTGATGTGTGTGTTTTCTATAGTAGATGTTGATGTGTGTTTTTTCTATAGTAGATGTTGATGTGTTTTCTATAGTAGATGTTGATGTGTGTTTTTTCTATAGTAGATGTTGATGTGTTTTTTCTATAGTAGATGTTGATGTGTGTGTTTTTTCTATAGTAGATGTTGATGTGTTTTTTCTATAGTAGATGTTGATGTGTGTGTGTTTTCTATAGTAGATGTTGATGTGTGTGTTTTTTCTATAGTAGATGTTGATGTGTTTTTTCTACAGTAGATGTTGATGTGTGTGTGTTTTCTATATTAGATGTTGATGTGTGTGTGTTTTCTATAGTAGATGTTGATGTGTGTGTTTTCTATAGTAGATGTTGATGTGTGTTTTTTCTATAGTAGATGTTGATGTGTTTTCTATAGTAGATGTTGATGTGTGTGTTTTCTATAGTAGATGTTGATGTGTGTGTGTTTTCTATAGTAGATGTTGATGTGTGTGTGTTTTCTATAGTAGATGTTGATGTGAGTGTTTTCTATAATAGATGTTGATGTGAGTGTTTTCTATAGTAGATGTTGATGTGAGTGTTTTCTATAGTAGATGTTGATGTGTGTTTTCTATAGCAGTTGTTGATGTGTGTGTGTTTTCTATATTAGATGTTGATGAGTGTTTTCTATAGTAGATGTTGATGTGAGTGTTTTCTATAGTAGATGTTGATGTGTGTTTTCTATAGTAGATGTTGATGTGAGTGTTTTCTATAGTAGATGTTGATGTGTGTTTTCTATAGTAGATGTTGATGTGTTTTTTCTATAGTAGATGTTGATGTGTGTGTGTTTTCTATAGTAGATGTTGATGTGTTTTCTATAGTAGATGTTGATGTGTGTGTTTTCTATAGTAGATGTTGATGTGTGTGTTTTCTATAGTAGATGTTGATGTGTTTTTTCTATAGTAGATGTTGATGTGTTTTTTCTATAGTAGATGTTGATGTGTGTGTTTTCTATAGTAGATGTTGATGTGTTTTTTCTATAGTAGATGTTGATGTGTTTTTTCTATAGTAGATGTTGATGTGTTTTTTCTATAGTAGATGTTGATGTGTGTGTTTTCTATAGTAGATGTTGATGTGTTTTTTCTATAGTAGATGTTGATGTGTGTTTTCTATAGTAGATGTTGATGTGTGTTTTCTATATTAGATGTTGATGTGTGTGTGTTTTCTATAGTAGATGTTGATGTGTTTGTCCCCCCCCCTCTCAGGAGCGTGGGGGTGTGCGGCGTCTCTGAGGACTCCTGCCCCCCCACCGCGTCTCCTCGCCGTCTCCTCCTCACCTTGTTGTTGGGAACCTGCGCCATGTTGGTGAAGGAGACGGGCGTCACCGTGTTCGGAGTCTGCGTGCTCTACGACGCCCTGGTGCTGTGTCGCCGGCCGCTCATCAGGTAAGAACCCGACAGAACCAACAGAACCCACTGAGACAGAACCTACCGAGACAGAACCACTCTAACAGAACCCACTGAGACAGAACCACTGTAACAGAACCCACTGAGACAGAACCCACCGAGACAGAACCAACAGAACCCACCGAGACAGAACCACTGTAACAGAACCCACCGAGACAGAACCACTCTAACAGAACCCACTGAACCCGCAGGAGTTTAAAGGGACAGTCCGGTCTTTTTGAAGCCCGGCTCTAACTGGTCCGGTTCAGTTCTGGTCCCCTCCTCTTGTTTTTGACGAGTAGATCAGCCCATCTCATTCAAAAATAGACGAACAGTTCCTTTAAGAATCGGCTCCAGAGTCGATTGAAGAAGTTCTGGCTGAACGGACCGGTCCTGGTCTCAGAACTCTCAGGGAAATCTACTCCTGATTGTGAACCTGAGAGCGCGGATTTACATGTATGTGTGTATGTTGCTGTGAGTGTGTGTGTCTGTGTGCGTGTGTGTAAGTGTGTGTGTGTGTGTGTGTGTGTGTGTGTGTGTGTGTGTGTGTGTGTGTGTCTGTTCTGCGTTAAGGTCCAGATGTTCGGCGCCTCCCTGCTGTCTAAGCCGGTCTGAAATGTTCTGGAATGAGATCACTGCTGCAGAGCTGGAGCAGCTGATAACAGTGTGAGAGGGGAGGGGCGTGTGTGTGTGTGTGTGTGTGTGTGTGTGTGTGTGTGTCTGTGTGTGTGTGTGTGATCTCCTCATTGGTTGGTTAGCATTTCTAGTTTGTCTTTACTGAGTAAAATATTGGTTTAGTAGGAGGAAAGAGGCGGAGGAGACGAAGAGGAGAATAGAGGAGAAGAGGAGAGAGGAGGAAAGAGGAGGAGGAGAGAGAAGAGAAGGAGGAGAGAAAGAAGGAGGAGAAGAGGAGGTGAGGAGGTGAGGAGTGGTCGTGTTCAGGTGTTGAATCCTGTTAAATTGAAGTTTGAAAACGTTGAAGTTTAATCTGAGATTTCATGTAAATTT